CTCTCTCTCTCTCTCTCTCTCTCTCTCTCTCTCTCTCGCACACGCAGCTGCTCCCGGCGCTGCCTACGCATATTATACTCCCGCTGGTGCCGTAATATTCTTTGGGAAATGCGCAAACCTCATCGCTTTTCCAGATTTGAGCCAAGGTCGGAGCGCCGGAGGCAGGGGAGGGGTACCCCCCAACTCTCCTCTCCGCCTCTACGCGCCCACGTACCCGACCGCCACCACCACCACCGCCGCCACCACGACCACCACGACCACTACCACCACCAAGCCAAGGTCGACTCGGCTCGGCGCAGGCCGCGCGGCGCAGGGGGGCGTGACGGAGGCGGGTGGGGGTACCGGAGGGGTACCCGAGGGCTGCCAGATAAATTATGCACTAGCTGTGAGCTGCCCACCATGCGCCCCTTCATCCCCCACCCCTCCTCTATACCTAGACTTTTCCTCCACTCTCACCACCCCACTCCTCTCCGCACCCTCTCCCGCGCCATAACCGACGGTATCATCTCGTTGGTTATGAGCTTTTCAGATTTACGGTTCGAAATTCGCAAATAACCTTGCAACTGGGCCTTTGGTATGGGACCTTTCCCTTTTCCTGCTGGAAGTGTTTGTGCGAGAGAGACGACGCCGAAAGTGTGTGTGTGTGACAGAGAACGAGTTGAAGTTGCGTCCGTGCGCGTGGGGGAGGAGAATGGACGACCTTTTCTCTCTCAGGGATACAACACACGACTCGAGATAGTGGGGCGGTTACCTCCCCCGCCGCCCCTACCTCTCGCGCTGCTGCTGAGGCCCCTGATTACGGATAGGAATCCTCCCCCTCTCTCTTGCGCTCTCTCTCGCTCTCTCACTCTCTCTCTCACTCTCTCTCACTCTCTCTCTCACCGGCGCGCCGCCTCCCTTGCGACGGGTCCCTCGGGGGCTGACGGGCCGGGAGGGGCTGCGTCCTCGCCTCCTCAATGACCCGTCCTCTCCTCTCCTCTGCCTCCTCCCCTCTCAGCTCAGGTGTCGTGATGTAGCATTCCCTTTCTCGTATCCCTCCCGCCCTTCCTCCCCGCAGCGCGCCTCCCGCCCTCGTCTGCTTGTCGTGGTGTCCCCTCCCCCTTTACAGATACTCCCTATAACCCACCCCCCTTTCCACTCGCCTACGCAGACATTCCTAACCCTCTTCTGCTAACAGCAAAGCCAGCGCACCTCGCCTCCCTCCCGACCCCTCAGACCGCCACCGGCACGGTTTCTTCTCTACCCCTCCGACCCACTTTCACCCACCCCTCGCGCCGTCAGCACTGCCTCCTCCGACCCGCCTCGCCATACCTCTCGCCATACCTCCCCACCCTCTCCGGTCGTCGTTCTTATGCAGAGCCGCTGAGAGGGTGGAGAGAGGCCTGGTGTGGACCGGGCGCGGCTGCGGCAGCCACTCACTGTATCGGCTCCACGCCACGGCGGCCGAGCAGGGGTCCGACATCACAACAACTCATTGTACACGAGAGAAAATACTCGCAGGATACTCGCGACCGCATTCGCGCGAAAAAAGGAGAAATTCTTCCCAAATATTCGCGGACACACTCGCTAATACTTGCGCAAACCCAACAATACTCGCGGACACTCGCAGATTCTCGCGAATCTCATTGTGCAACCACTTGGAGAGTGGGGGACCCCTCGACGGCGGCAGCCCCTTCAGCTCTCCACGGCGGCAGCCACTTGGCCCCAGTGCGAGCAAATTGGAAATCGAATAGCGGCCTGGGCCGAGGGGCTCTGCGACCATTACCGCCGCGCGGGGATGCGCTGTGCCGGGCCGGGCCTGAGGGTGCTGCGCCTAGCAGAGAGGACCCGCCCCGCCACCAGCACAGGAGTCCGGAGCGTATGCCGGTTTCTTTTCTTGTTTATTTTATACACGCCTTTTTTATGTTCGTTTTGCGATTTCTTCGTTATTTCCTTCGACTTGGTTTGCGGCCTTCTTATATGGCGGCGGTGCGGCGGCGTCGGTCGTGATGGCGTGCTAGAAGGGCTGCGGGCCGAATACTGCTGCTTTTTGCGGCCCGCCACACCCCGCCACACCCCGCCACGTTCGCTAACAACCCACCAAGTTGTAACAACCTTGGGGTATGGCTTTATGGAGTGGCTACTTGCTCGCCGGCCGCCCCCTAACCTGAGCCACTGCGAACGGAACTCCTCCGCCGTGCGAACGAATTTCGACACAATCGACACACCGGCGTGTTCCTCTAGGTCCACTCTAATTATTAGTCACATAAAACTTGACCACCACCACAACACTTTCAAACTAAAGCCCACCAAAGTCGCTCACCGCCGTGCGTCCATCGCTCCTGTCCCGACCCGTGCAGCGCCTGCCGGCAGCGAGAACGTTCCGCCCGAGCGAGTTCGCCGCGCCCCGCCGCTAGGGGCGCGGCGGTCGCTCGTCAGCAGCAGCGCTGTTTACGAATCGCTAGCAGAAGCACTCAGGAGAGAAACAGGTGGTTCTCCGTCGTATCGTTGTGCAATATGGACAATATGGATCAGGATGACGAAGAATTTGATTGTAGCTACAATGAAGACGACCCGAGTTGTCTAAATGAAACCGTCGCTTCGGAAACTTCAGGAGTTGGAATATCTGACGTTTCTTTATCCGAATGGGACACCTCTTTCTCATCAGTCACTGTAGAGCCCGAGACGTCGACGCCAAGAAAGGGGAGAAAAACTAAGAAGACAACCAAAAAAGCAAGTGAACTGGCAAAGGAACAGCCTGTATTTAAACCACCTTCTGTACCTGACCAGCTTTTTAAGTGCCCCGAGTGTGAGAAGCTAGTAAAATCCAAGTCGGGTCTTGCAAGGCATCTATTAGCCCACAAGTGGAGAGGTACTTTGACTTCATTAAAACTGTATTCTCCCTAAGTTTCTTCTTTAAAAACAATAAAATAATTTCCTTTAGTCTTTGCTTATTAGTCCTTTTTTATGTTTCAGCCCTTGCTGCCAAACAGCCCGCTCCAGCTGATGTCCAAAAGCATTGCGTCCAGTCTTGCAAGCCAGTGTTAGAGAGCATCTCCAG